ATGATGTTCACTGCAATGCAATTTATAATAGCAAAAAAAAAGTTGGAATAAACATAGATGTTCACCAATAATGGACGAGTTAGAATGAGTTATAACTACTCAATACAGACATCCAAACCATATGGTAATACATCTATAAAATATATCAAACTTTAAAAAATACCAAGTATACAAAGTTATATATACAGCAGCATGATAGCTATGTAAAATACATACATGGTTATGTGGCACATACCTTTATTCTATTTTCCATGTTTTTCTGTATTTTCCAAATTTCTTATAATGGCCATGCATTGTTTCTACAGTTCAAGAAAGTTTCTAAAGCTGTCTTCAAAAAATTTTTAAAAGCATCACTTTTAAGTATTTATACTTCATATAAATCAATTTCATATTGACTAAGGTTTTATTACCTCTGCCTAGGGAGAGAGGTATGTCATTTTATATATATATAATCCAATATCTTATTTATCCAGCATCACAGAAAATAGGATATATATTTAAAAACGTTTCCCAATTAACTAAAATGTGATCTTAAAACTTTTAAACTTCAGTTTAAACTCAAAACTTCAGTGAAACTTGGATGGACATCTATCTAAAAATGTATTTCACTCAATCCTGACTTCTTAAAACAAGACAAAACAAGATTAAGACTTCTTATGATTATTAAAGGTCATCATTTTGATCATGTATTAGCAGCTCTGAGGGACCACTGGGTCTTAGAGGAGCATTTGTCCTTATATTAAATAGTCTGTAACTGCAACATTTTTTCCTCTGCCAGATTCTCTCCTTGCTTACAGATTTTCTTCCTCCTCCTTTGCTGTAAAGCCATCAGCTACAAGGAGCTTGCCTTTAGCAGCATCTGCCAATTTCCATTCTTATTTTGCTGTTGGTAATTGCCTACGAGTAAAGAAACTAAATATCCAAGTTTATAAGAACTCTGTGTAAAATAAGAGATAATAACAATAGGCTTCAAATAAAGGAATCACCTAAAAATGATTTGCACAGACTTGGATGATTCTGTTCCAGGTAGTCAAGGTTGCAGTATAAATGAACTCCAAAGAGAGTATGAGTTCTTGACAGTATCTCAAGTCTTGGTTCCTTTACTAAACTGGCAGTCAAGTTCTCAGGGTCAAAAATTCGTATGCTATTTCTCTTATCACACTATGGGAAGAGATGTGGACTAGGAGCCAAGGAACCTAGTTCTAGCACAAGTTCTTACACCAACCAGTTTTGTAACCTTCAGCAAGTCTTTTAATCTTGGTACTTGTCCTGCATAACTTATGAGGCTGCTCTAGAATTAAATTAGATCATGAACACAAAAACACTCTGAAAAGTATAAAGTACTACACAAAAGTAAACCATTTTTAATGGTATTTCACTATGTTTCTGTGACCTTGGAACCATTAAGAAAATTCATACCAGAAAGAATAGAGGGAACCAGATAATTCTTAAATTGCTTATTAATTAGGAAACATCTATTATCTTGGAAGAATAATATATTCTAAGAGTTGGCATATCTGATTACTCCTCCCCTATATCCAATCAGCCCGCAGGTCCTTTGTGTCTTCTGCACAATAGCTCACTCTGTCCCTTTCTTGCCATTACCACTTCAGGCCTTTCTTCTCTCACACCTGGGCTGTAACAGCCTCTAACTGGCTCCACTCAAGGCTTCTCTCACCCTCTCAAATCCCGCTAGCCCACAGCTTCTAGATCAATTTTCCTAAAACACTACTGTGATCATATCTGTTCAAAAACTGAGGACTTTCCACTACTGTCTCTATTAAGTTCAAATTCCTAAGCTCAGCAGCCCTAGCTGCCTCCTCACCTTTATCTCTTACTACTATTCCAAACAAATCCTTCCTCAAACTGGTCTATTTAAGTCCTTCAGATATGCCTTGCACTTCTCTTGCCTCTGAATACTCTCTCCACCCGGAATATTCTCCACTTCCCAGCTTCTATCTTGGACTATACAGATTCAACCCACCCTTTAAGGCCTAGTTTGAGGGCCACTTACTATGTATACTCCTCTTTGATTACCACAAAGGAAAAGATGGCAGATTCTAAAGTTAGATATATTTGGGTTTGAATAACAGCTTCAATAGATAAGTGACATGGGGCACATTTCTTAAAAGCTCTTTGCCTCGGTTTCTTCTTCTGTAAGATGGGGATAATCACAATTTCCCTTGGACATATTGTGAGGAGTAAATGAGTAAATGATCATATAAAGCACTTAGCTCAATGCCTGGCATAGAGGAAGGAAGACCCAAAGATGTTAGATGTTGTTATTCCTATTGCCATTAGTGAATTATCTTCATCTGAATTCAACAGTGCCTATGGCCATTACAGACAATCTGTTCATGCACATACAATATCATTCCCCTCACTCTCCTTTTCTATCCTCTCACCTCATTTTTTTTCTTCCTCTTGTCCCCTCCTAAGATTACATGATCCTCATGGACAGGCTCAATGTCTTATACATCTTATTATCTGTAACAGTCATGCAAGCCTACTAGATGATTAATAGGGTTGTTTAAATCCCTAATGAAAGACTACTGAAGGGCTGACAATTTTAAAAATATCCTACCTCCTATAGTGAAAAAGTGTAATAAAATACTTAAAGTTATTAATTAAAAAATTTTAATTTCCAGCCTCACAAAATTAAATCTCCCCTTTCATGGTTTTCTAGATTATTTTTGCTTTCTCTTTCTTTTAAAACAAATAGCTCAACCTATTCATACAGGAAGAGGTGCAACAGCAAATATATACAGGTCAGACAGCAGCCAAATACTGGAACACAAGGACCACGAGACAACTCAGCTGAACATAGCTTTGGATGAAGTGAAACATTTAGACAAATTAAAGGGAAAAGCAACTGGCTCATCAGTCATGCTAACACTGCTGACTGTTACACACATACTTATATACTTATAAACACACACACACACAGTTCCAGGATTCCTTTGTACCCAGGGCCACGTGTAAACAACTGAAATATCCAGGCCAGGCTACTATAGCAAGTAGATGTAGAAATACCACAGTTCGCTCAACAACCGAGCTTACCACATAATCAATTTAATTACCTATGTCAAAAGTGACTACTGACATACTTCATGATTCTAAAATAACCAAATTTTGGCTAATTAAGTCATATCAAGTAGATATGGCCTTACTGTATACTAATGACCTCAAGAAAACTAGCATGATAACTTGACATACATATGTTATTACTTTACAACATAAACTGCTTTTGACAATGCCCAGGCAACATGATGTTACTATAATACTGATTTCTAGTTTATTTGTATGACTACTAACCTTCAGTTTCTTTCAGTCAAAACCAGGCTTGGTAACCATTAATCTCAAAGGCTTGATTAGTAGAGTGAATTAAGATCGTTCAATGGTACGTTAATGATGTCCAAAAGTAGCATAATGTACTAAATTTATGAAGAAATTATATTAAATTTCTATTCCTATAATACTTGTCTTCTGAGGACCCTAAAATGTTTTACCAGCTTTAAGTGTGCAATTTTTCTCAAATCACAGAATCTTAAGAGTTGGAAAAAGCTTTACAAGTACCCCATTACAGGAATTCTTTATACCACCTCCTAGGCAAAAAGTCCTCCACCCTTTGCTTGAATACTTTCAGTAATGAACATTCCTATTTTGCAAGACAGTCCACTCCACTGTTCCTTTCAATCACTGGAAATTTGCCTCCCTGTATTTCTATCCAAAGATCCTAGTTCTGATTTTTGGAACAACACAAGGTAAGTTAACCTCTGAAACATAATCACTTCTAGAATTAGGATATAGCTGTCAATCTGGCAATACGTAATGGGAAACAAAGCCAAGGAAAAAAGAAAGAAGAAACCACCACTATACACAACAAAATTTTGAAATTCAGGAAACTCCTGAACTCACAAGCCATGTTTTCAAGATATCAAAGCTCACACCTCAGCGAACATATAAATATTGAGTAACCTGATTTTTCACAGTGGAAGGTGGTACAGTGCCTATTGAATACCTTTTTGCAACTTGAAACTACTAAATCCACTGACACGGTTTTTAAAATTACAATTCTATAGGGAATTCAAGATGATTTTTCCAATTACTCATATTTTCATTCCGTCTATTTCCCTCTAAAACATCCAGATTTTTTTTTAAGATCCCATTTCTCCCCACTGGTGCAATATTTTATTTTTAAAAATAAGCATTTTCGAAAATAAAGCCTAAAAGAACGAGTGTAAAGGAATGGGGGTGGGGCGAAGAGCGAGGCCATAGAAGGGCCCAGCAGGAAAAGGCTGGCTACTGGGTATTTTCCTTCTGAAAGCATGCTTCACTGGCATGGGCATCTGAAGTAATGAGCCATAGACACACAACCCAAGAACAAGAACGATCATGAGCAATGAGCATAAGGCATAAATGTCTGTAAGATGTAAATGAATTGACACTGGTCAACCAACAGCGCCAGATGCTTCAGGACCTCGTCGAGGAAAGGTAAGAGGTACAGGCAGAGACCACGGCCACTCTTTGAGGGAGAGAAGAAACTAGCGTTCATCAGTCCAACGAAGCCCGAACGGTACAGGGCACAGGAAAAACAGTAAGTGACTAGGGGGAAGGCACACACCCCGAAGAGCCTAAAGAAGAGTGTGCAGTGTGAGAATACGGAACGGGTCCATGGGCGCGGATAAGGGGATGTGGGAGTATGTAGGGGCAGCGCAGGAGTCCCATGGTCCTCTCCCTGCAGCTGAGCAACAAGAGGGTAAACGAAGGGGGAGGGCGAAAAGCAAGAATGACTCATTCCCGAAAGGAAGTGCTTAAGCCATAGGAAGGCATGCCACAAGGGGGTCCGGGGGGAGGAGAGCTGGATGCCCAGAGTGATGGTGGCAAAAACCAACGTCCTGTAGTTCCTGCAGCTCGTCCTTTAGATGGGGGGTGTGGGGGATTCGCTGCAGCCGAGTGCCAAGGCCTGGGAAGCGGCGCGGCGCGTGCGCAGTGGCGCTCGGCGGGACCCGCTGAGGCAAAGCGGAGCCGCAGTGACAGAAGCGAGCTGAGCGGCCGCCGGGAGGGACTCACCGAGGCGCAGGGGCTGGAGGTGGTGCTGGGGGTAGGCGACCGCTGGACCGTGACCAAAGCCATCTAGGCGCTCCTGGGTTGTTCCGGGCAGGGCATTCTTGTCCTGAGTGTGGGGGTCGGGAGGGTGACGGAGCCGGGATGGGGAAAGGGGTGTGGGGTGCGGGTGACGGGAACGGGGCGGGGAGGAGGAGGCCGCGGGAACGGCCACAGGCTCTGCACCCACCACCGGACTCTCGCAGACTGACGCGCCGAACGGGTGGCGGGCGGGCGGGCGGGCGGTTCGGCAGCTGCGGGGCACAATGAGCGCTCCCAGTGCGCAGGCGCCACCTGTCAGCAACCGCCTCTCCTCTCGGCGCGCGCCGCCGCCTGGCTGTAACCCTTCAGTTGCCGGAAGGCCGGGTGTGTGCGCGTCCGGCCGCCGCCCCCTCCCCAGCATCCCGCTTCGCGCTGGGACCGAGCTATTTGCCGGCACCTGCGGGGTAGTGGAGTCGGGTGGAGGGACTGTTCCCGGGGTTGGAAGGGGGCCGCTGGAGTCCCCACTCCTGAGAGACAACCGTTTTGTGAAGTGGGGTGCACAGTTTAACGATCTTAGTGAAAAGAAACTGAGGTGAAAATCCTGAGGCAAACGCGTTTGCTGGTGGGAAAGGGCTCCGTGGGGTTTCAAACGCTTTCTGTAGGCATGAGTGGGACTTAACTGGGCTAGAGACCCTCCTGGCGCGACTAGGAGACAGGTTTATCTCCCTTTTGACCCGGATATGGGGGGCTTTCTCTGAGCTTCCCAACCTGAGAGTCCATGTTTTATGATGAGACTTTTTGAAAGAAAGAAAAATCTTTAATTTTATACCCTGGGAAGATGCACGATATCCTCATGCTTCTTCCTCTGTCACCCTGGTCCCTGTGTAAGGATTCATGCATATTCCCAAAGTGAAGAGGGGCTGAGTGAGCTTTGGAGGCCGAGCACGCTGGCCTCACAAAGCTGTAAGGGTCTGGCATACTGTTAACCTCTTACTTGCTTCCTGATGAGAAGAAATTCTCTTAAACCGAATTGGCTAGTTGAGGTTTCTGCTCCTTCGTCTCTAGACTTCATTACTTCACAGACACATGTGAAGTGTCGATTAGATATTTTAAAGGAATAATTTTCGATAAGATGAACTGTCAGCAGACCATAATGTAATGAAAAATCAAGATTAAAAGGGGGAAAATCGCACTATGCAGATACCATTGATCATTTACACTGAGAGAGTTGGCAAAGCTATTCCTTAATTTGAGTGAATGTGCTGGTAAATACCACCATACATATCAAAGCTGTAGATAACACATATTAAGGAGTTTGCCGTTATTAAAGCCCACCTCCTTCTGTTTGTTACTCAAACCCTTCTTGGTGTTCATTACTTCTTTTAAACTGACAGGGCTGTCGTGAGCTCTTTCTGGCTGTTGTATGGTTAAGTGTCACTAGAGCCCTCTGTGCTGAGCCTTTGTTCTCTCCTTGGGGCCCTGCGGTTGAAATAATTAGCAGGGAGGTTCCATCAAGAATCAGACACTGAGGGTCCCTGTACTGTACAGTCCTACACAGAATTGTATCTCAGAGAAGCCAGCTGGTAGCTTTTGCCCCCTGGTGGTGGTCAATAGTGCCTGTGAGACAAAATTAAAGATGTATGCTTCACTGATTAAACAATCTGTGTTTTTCCAAGAGCTACGTAGTAAACAGGAAAAGAGAAGACAAAGTTCAGAAGGAAGAACTTTGGACCAACGCTTAGGAGACCAAACAGGAAGCTGTATGCATAGCTTAGAAATATACACAGTTGAAAGCTGCATGAGTTCAAATAAATGAAACATCTGGTTTATAAACCAAAGTTAATCATTCTAGAAAAAAATGTTCAAATCAATAGCCCTTTGTAACGTAATTATATGTCGATTTTCTTACTGACTCAATGACAGCAACACTGATTTTCTACTTTTGTGTAGCAACATAACCTTAAGAAATTCTGTTGAAAGATGAGAAACTTACTTCCATTAATCTGACAGTTAAAAAGAACACTACCATAGGAATCAGAAGACCTGGCTTCTAGTTCCAGCCCTGAAACACCTTAAGTAAATGATGTAAACTTGTTGACCTTTAGTTTCTTCATTTCTACAATGGAGCTCTAACAAGATCTTTGTGGTAAAGTTCAGTATGAAGTCCTGTATGTAATTAAGATAACTTTATTCTTCCCTAAATTTTGTTCCAAGTTCAGTCAGCTTTTGCTAAGTAAAAATAGCATCAAACAAAAAGAAAAGAACTGGAAAGACATAATTCATACCTTAACAGTAGGAGAAGTAGATCAGTGGTCAAGATGTGTCTTGTCTGTAGATAGGGATAGAGCATCTTGTTCAGCATATCTGAGGTGATAAAATCCTGGTCAAAACTGGGGTTATAAGGGACCCAAATTCACATTGTTTGTTTATATCAGGAAGTTAATTAATTTATGGGAAAATATCTCTTCCAGGTATATAACCTTTAAAGGAAACTAAAATTTGGAAATTAGTATGTTTGTTAATTTATTCACCATTAAGTAAAAAAATATAGAATGTGTACTAGATACTGTTTTAAAAGCAAAATTTTTTTAAATGTCTACCTTTCAGAAGCTTATAGTCTGTTAGCAGGAAAAAACACCTCAAATAATAATAGTATGGTTTAGTGGTACTATCGTTTAGTCACCACATGGTTTAGTCACCATATGGTTTAGTCACCTTTGCTAGGCTAAAGGGAGATACATATATAGGAGAAATCTAGGTATGTACAAAAGTGCTTTAGAAACAGAGGAGAAGGTCTGGGCAAAAGAATGCTTTATGCTACTGACTTCCAGGCATTGGCTACAGATGCCAATATAGCTACCTTGTGAACTGAGTTGCATTACATGTGAACCTTCAAAATCTATGCTCTCTGCCCCATTTATACCTACTCTTGCTGGGCTCACCCCTGGTTTCTATTTGGTCTTCTGATGATCTGAGGGAAGAGATACCTGCCTGTAATAGAAATGATGCTAAAACCCTCTTACCATGACAGTTGAATTTGAGAAGAGAGGCCAAGAGCAGGACTCCAAGAGAGTCAAAATGACAAAAGTCCTCCTAGTTCTATTTATAGCACTTTTATTCTCAAAAATAAAGAATGGAGGTCTAGTTGTGCCATTGGAGTTCATTTAACCCTTAACTTTTCTCATCACTTTTTTTATTAAGGCATTACTGATATGCACTCTTATGAAGGTTTCACATGAAGAAACAATGTGGTTACTACATTTACCCATATTATAAAGTCCCCACCCATACCCCATTCCAGTCACTGTCCATCAGTTTAGTAAAATGCCAGATTCACTGTTTGCCTTCTCTGTGCTACACTGTTTTCCCCATAACCCCCCACACCATGTGTACTAAACATAATACCCTTCAATCCCCATCTCCCTCCCTCCCGACTCGCCCTCCCACACCCCTCCTCTTTGGTAACCACTAATCCCTTCTTGGACTTTGTGAGTCTGCTGCTGTTTTGTTCCTTCAATTTTGCTTCGTTGTTATACCCCACAAATGAGGGAAATCATTTGGTACTTGTCTTTCTCCGCCTGGGTTATTTCACTGAGCATAATATCCTCCAGCTCCATCCCTGTTTTTGCAAATGGTAGGATTTGTTTCTTTCTTATGGCTGAATAGTATTCCATTGTGTATATGTACCACATCTTCTTTATCCATTCATCTACTGATGGACTCTCATCACTTCTTCAGGGGTGAAATTATAAGAGAATTTTTGAAATTCCTGAGATCAGCTTGTTGTTAAGCTTTGAGAACTTGATGAAAACTATTAATCATTTCTCCAGAAAGATACTGAATAAGACAGTCTAACAATGATCACCTGGGTGGTCATTATTGATGAAAACTTGTTCATACAAGTAGGTGATAAATTTAAAATAATTTTCACAATTCAAAATTTACAAGTATAAATTATATTTGATTCTAATAGCACTTACATTTTTCCCACTGACAAACATAATGTGGCAATACCTTATGATAATATGACTGGATTTAGAATCCACTCAAACTTTTTCATACCAGATATATATTACAAAATAATGATGAAGTTCTAATTTATAGAGTATGACTATGTTATCAAAGCAATAATAGCAATACAATAATTCTGCAGCTCACTTGGATGTAACCAAAAGGGCACATCAGACATAAACAAAGGGAAGAATTCAGTATATATCAAGAGAGATTGGGAGCTGAGTCCACAGGAGTACCTGGCAGGTCTCCACACTTTCCCTGGCCATACTGTAGGCTGTGTGTCCTGCTTCTTGGGTATCTGGGACATGCATTCCTCCAGAAGCTCCACAGCTTAATGTTTGTGCTGAACCATAATACAATCTGCCACTGGCTTCTGAAAGTGATGGCCTGGTGGAAGAACATTCTATGGCTTTTCTCCTTTATTAAACTTATTTATTTGATAAAGCAGGTCCTTAATTGTGCTTGCCTCCTGTGGGACCATGGAACACACTAGTGTGGATGTGATTGTTTATGGCTACTCTCTGAGAATCTTTAGATCAAATTGCTTCTGGCCATGGGTGAATTACATAAAGGCACCTACCACCACAGTCCTTTTCAACCATTCCTAGGGCTGAATAAATAACTCTCTTTAGTATATCTGTAACTCATTCATCACACACCAAATGAAGTATGTCTACTTAAAAGACTATAGTTTATGTAGCAAAGCTTGTTAAAATGGGGAAAAAAGAACTATGGTTTCTGTCCTTAATAATATAATACCCTACATTTGAAATCACTAGTTACAAAATAATATAACAAGTATAAATTAATACAGTACAGATGGAATATATAGTAGCAAGAGTGATTGAAGCATGATTGTCATATTTTGTCTCCATCTGGTCATAATTTTTATTAAATTTTAATAATCTTTTACTAACTTTATTTAATAATCAGTGTCCAAATAGGTGATAGAAACCACACCAATTATCTGAACAGATAATTTAACAAGAATTGTTAACTAGC